CTTAAATCAGAACTGATCTTTTAAACAGAATCCTCATGCTGAGACACCAATTTGGCCTTCAGGAGGCAAACAGAGTTCCAGAACACCTCCTGCTGCTTACCTGCTCCCCCTTCTCTGAGTAAGCGCTGAAAAAAAACAAACAAAAACACACACATAAAAGAGAAATGGCTGCAGAGCTCTCTTCTGCGGTCACCACAGGCAAAATGCTACATGAGCAGAAGGAAAAAAACAGAGTGCAACAAACCTCTCCTGAACTGCTGTTACAAGGTTCTGCTCCCACCAGGATGAGCTTTGACACAGTATACATTAGAGAAGCTGAGGTTATTACACAGAAGACACCTCACTGCTCATTCCAGAGGGGCTGGACCAGACAATCGTTAAAGGTCCCTTAACCCAAACCACTCTATGATTCACCTTCTGACTTTCTGCATCTCTAAACTCGCCAATGCGTTGCACTCACGCACCAGTCCCACCCCCACCAAGCAGCTGGTATAGTGAGTAGAGCCTGTTCAAGCACAGCACAAAGCCCATCAAACAACACTTATTTACTACACCAGCTCCAAAGAATTCTAGACAAAGCTGTCATTCCTGTTAGCACTAAAAGTCACAGCGGCAGCAGCTCACCACAGCCGAGCAGTGCCTGCCATGCAGGAGACCCAGATTCATGCTCCCCCATCAGTTATCCCACTCAGGGATACAGCACTGGAGAGCCAGAAGCCTTTTGTCACTCCAAGCACTCCCAGACATATCCATGACCTCCGCAGAGAAGTTTACCTTACCCTGGCAGCAGGCTGCCGCAGTGTGGGGCTGTAAAGGGAGAGCCAAGCAATGTTTGCCTCATTAATCCAACTTTTCCCATCTTGTTTAAACTTCGGCTCACAAAAACAAGCTCTGTTTGGCAATACACCGCACTTCACGTCTGATAAGGCATCGGCAATACGTGACACTGTACTACATGCAATACTACGGAAGTTCTGCTATCCAAATTCACAGGTAGAAGCAGCTCCTAGCACCCACCCCAGCACACAGCCCAGCACAGGCATCTCCAAGAGGAAAAACAAGGAGGGGGAGGCAGCAGAGGCATGATCTCACCCCAGCACACCGAGCTACCGCAGCCCCGCGCTTGGAGAAGCGGCCACAGGAGAAAAAAAAAGGACTTTCCTGCCTTTGTACCGAGCCGCTCGGTGCTGCATCGCGGATCCCCGAAGCCTGTGCCGCACACAGCGCGGCTGGGACCCAGCAACCCCGCATCCCGCGGCTGCCCTTCTGCCAGCGCCTACCACCGGAGCAACCCCCCCTCCGGGCAGGACCGGGGCCAGGGAACCGCACAGGAGGCGACTCCGACCCCGCACCGCCCCTCGGCCCAGCCGGGCGACCCCAGCCCCGCTCCACCGGCGGGTCACCGGCCGGGGAACAGCCGGGGCTGGCTCGGTTCGGCTTGCTCCCGGCTCCCCGCAGCCCGCCCTAGCCCGAGGAGGGGACAGGGGTTTACCTGGCCGCCGGGAGCCGTCCCTCAGGCACCCGCTCGGTGCTGGAAGCCGCCTGCGCCCCGCGCCGCCGCCGCCCCCCCCCACCCCCCGGCCCGCTGGCTGCGGCGCTGCTCTCCCCGCTCAGGACATGGTCTCTCCCAGCGCGGCGGGCTGCCGCGGCGGCGGGCGCTCCCACTCCGGCGCGGCCGGGGGAGGGGGCCGGGGGGGAGAGGGGGTGAACCTCTCGCCCCGCTCCCCGGGCTCCTCTAATGGCGGCGGCCGGAGCGGCCCAAAGCAAAATAAACCCCCATACGGCCAGCGGCCCGCACGTCAGCCCGGCCTGCCGCCATGCCTCGCGCCCATTGGCGGAGCCCTCGGCCAATGGGTGCGTACCTCTTTGGGAAGAACGGTGATGTCATCGGTGCCGGCGGTTGCCCTCCCGCCTTGGGTGTCCCGCTGAGGTGAGCGGAGCCCGGAGGGGGACGGGGGTGAGCGGGCGGCTCGCAGCGCGGTGGGACGGGGAAACACGGCGAGGGGAAGCGCTTGTGGAGCTCAGCGTGCATGAAGGGCCCTTGCGATGACACGGACAGGCAGCAGCCGTCGGGTGTACCAGGGATAACTGACCCTTCCAGTGCCCTGGCAGGGAGTACCTGTGTGTGGTGGATAAACCGTGATGGAGGGGCTCACAGCCGTGATTCAGAGGACTGGAGCAGCTCTGCTCTGGAGCCAGGCTGAGAGAGCTGGGCTGGGGCAGCCTGGAGAAGAGAAGGCTCCTGAAGGGGAGACCTGAGAGCAGCTCCAGTGCCTAAAGGGGCTACAGGAAACCTGGAGAGGGGCTTGGGACAAGGGCCTGTAGGGACAGGCCAAGGGGAATGGCTTTAACCTGCCAGAGGGGAGACTGAGATGAGCTCTTAGGCAGAAGCTCTTCCCTGTGAGGGTGCTGAGGCGCTGGCACAGGGTGCCCAGAGAAGCTGTGGCTGCCCCATCCCTGGCAGTGTTCAAGGCCAGGTTGGACACAGGGGCTTGAAGCAAGCTGCTCTAGTGGAAGGTGTCCCTGCCCGTGGCAGGGGTTGGAGCTGGATGAGCTTTAAGGTCCCTTCCAGCACAAACCAGGCTGGGATTTTACAAGTCTGTGATCCCTTAGAAATTGACTTGTACTGACTATGCAATATTTTCATTTTGCTTTCTACTCAAGAACTGCAAGTCTGCATCTTATTGTAGGCTCACAGACAGAATTCCCACCTCCCTGCTTTTCCCTCCTGTGCCTTACATCATTTGATACCTGCCTTTTTGTTTTCCTACTGCACTACCTACTTTTCATTTCAGGCCTTCTCAGACACTCCAGCACTTTTTCTTCTTGTGGTTTCATCCCCTGTTCCCAGCCGAGGTTATAGAGGGGATTCTGTTAGTTAATGCCTCGAGCTAGGTGCTGTGTTGGGAAACTCATCCTGCTCTGGCCAGGTGGATCCATCCGTTCTGCCTCGAGCAGATAAACGAAAAGCACCCAAGATGTTCAAGCAGAGTGGTGATGCCTTTGGTAGAGAAATTGCCTTTGTACAGCAGACAAACAACCAGAACCAGAGTCAGGACATGCAAAATGCAATTACTTATGGAGGCTGATAGAGAAATTTGTCTCCATTTGCAATTAAATTAGATCCCTCTAAACATGAAAAACTGTTGGGGGGGGGGGGGGGAGGGCAAATGTGATTTGTCTCTCCCAGATGAGTTATTTACTAAATTGTCTTTTGGGAAGCATAATTATGGATGTTTAGCTATAGGAAAGATGGGGAAAAGTGTATTTTCTTTCACCCACCCACATATAAGATCCAGATGAACGTGGATAAGTCATGCAAAAGAAATATTAGTTCTCTTAAAGAGAGCTAAGGAGAACTCTCTGTGGTTAGAAATAATTCAGCAAATGGATCCCTTGTTCTTGGCGTCTAGGAAAGGTGACGGAAGAGCTGTCATGTAAGTGAGCTGGTACTGGGGTGAATCCTAAATGCTGCCTCGACTGTACAGCAATGGAAATGTCCAGAAATAATTGTTATAGATTAGACTGCAGAAAAGGATATGAAAATACATGGAATATGTAATTTAGGGGAAAATATCACTTATCCTTCCAGAATATTACCTAAACCTGTTGAAAAAACATTTGGAAATCATGGAAACATTTTAAACCCAACATAGAGCACTGCAGCACATTAGGAGCATGTTCACATAGGAGTATGTTCACAACAGAAAAGAGCTTAAATGGACCAAACTCCCATCATGCATAAGAAATTGCCCAGAGAAGCTGTGGCTGCTCCATCCCTGGCAGTGTTCAAGGCCAGGTTGGACACAGGGGCTTGGAGCAAGCTGCTCTAGTGGAAGGTGTCCCTGCCCGTGGCAGGGGGTTGGAACTGGATGAGCTTTAAGGTTCTTTCCAGCCCAAACCATTCCAGGATTCTATGATTCAATGATCATTTCAAAATTGAGTTAGAACACTGTTACCAGAGCTGTTAGCTTCCAAAGCAGATCCTGGCTGCATCTCCAAATTACGGGACATTTTGACCTTGGTGACGCTATTCCTAAGGCCACAACTATGGTTTTATCTGCAAAAACTGCCATTTGTTCTAGACCTAAACAATAAAATACAACAACAATGACCTTTCAGTGCTTCAGAACATTGATATTTACACATATAATTTGTGCACTAATAGCTGTCAGACTTCTAATTTGGAGAGAAATCAAAATCTACATGACTTGATAACCCAGTTCTCAATAGATTTGCTATTTGATCATCTTTTTCTTCTTTAAATGTCAGAAAGCTAATTCTATTTCTTTTGGCAAGCACTAATTTCCTACATTCCATCCCAAATTTCAAATTGATTCCACCAATTTAAGGACAAATTTCAAATCCCTATAAGAAATTTGGAACAGTCATATCCATTTGACAGCTTAATACGTTATTTTGGGAGCTCTGATGCGCGGAGCTGAATTTGCTCATGCCTTGGAGATTGTGTGCCTTCACACAGAGGGTGTGCAACTGCCCTCTGTAACTCAGAATAAACCCATGGCACAACCATGCGCCTTCGAGCACATCTATAAATACCATTTGCACATATATGTCTTCCAGCTTTCTTTTCCCCCCACTTCTCGAACATCATAAATCCTTGTTCTGCTAACACTGCTTTCTTCCCACCTTCCTCAGCCATCCCAGCTCTCCCTGATCAATTTGATTTCCTTCCAGATCCTCTAGAACAAGAAACAGCCTGCTCAGGGAAGAATTAATTGGACATCTCCTTGTCAGAACTCACAGATACGATGAAATCCAGGAGGCGCGCATAAGCCACAGAGTTTTTGCAGCATCATAGAATCCCAGACTGGTTGGGGTGGGAAGGGCACCCTGTGCCAGCGCCTCAGCACCCTCCCAGGGAAGAACCTCTGCCTAAGAGCTCATTTCAGAGAGCAGCAGAGGGGCAGAATCCCCTCCCTCTACTGCTGCTCACACTCTGGGGCAGCAGAGCACATGGAGGGGTTCTGGGCTCAAGTGCACACTGAAACCGTGTCATGGGGAGCGTCTCCTCACTCAACATCCCCAAGTCCTTCTCCTCAGGGCTGCTCCATCCAGTCTCCCTCAACCTGTGCTTGTGCTTGGAAAAATCATCTGGTTCCTGCTCCCTGTCATCCCAGAGGCACACCACCAGCACCTGTGCAGCAGCCAGGATGGAGCACAGAATGCCTGAAGCAGGACCCCTTTGTGCTTCCAAGGTGTGTGAGCCCTGCTGTCAGCCAGCAAGGCAGATGTCTGGGAAGTTCCCTTCCTTTGCTGCAAAGAATTTACAATTCAGGATCTTTTTCAGAACAATCCACAATTGCAAATTGCCACTTTCTCCTATTAAACATGAGCACTTTGCATCACACTCACGAGGTGCCCTGTTTCTTCTGCCCTGATGCTCACTGTTAGCAAAAGGTTTCTTCCCTCCACCCTCCCTGACGTTTCTGTTCTGATTCACCCTGCTTACAACCAAGAGAATGATACCAAAAGCTATAATTAGAAAGAAAGAGTCAAAACATTTCACAGTAGCAGATTCCTGGATGCTGTGTACAATACCTGGGGGACTTGTTGAAGCAAAATTGTGCTTCAGGTAAGCAAAAAGGCAAAACCCAAAATATTTTACGTTGGCATGGAGTGTTCCTGTGCTGCAGCAGGACTGCCTCAGCTCAGAGAGCAGAGATTACATCTGGTTAGTTAGTGATGTGTAAGTGCAGATCTTACCCTTATGTAATTCTCTTTACCCTGGTAACTACTCGCTCTCAGGCAGAGTGCTGGTTCCCATTAGGCAATTCCTCCCTGGCTTATCCAGAAGCAGAGCTGTACGTGCTCACCAGATGGTTATTCCTCACTAGCTGAACTCTGAATATGCAGAACTCCCTCCTTGCACCAGCATCTCAAATCCTGCTCTTGCCTTTGCTTTATTCAGTGTTTTCAGGCTTTTCATGATGAAGGAAGATTTGCAACTGAACTGATAAAGGGTATGGGATAGAAATGCACAGAATTCCAATGGCAGCACAGCTTTTGAAGCTATTGAGAACAGGATATTTTAAATGGTTGACTGATTTGTTACCATTTTTCCATCCTCTCTCTGAGTCAGCCTCAGCTTCACACCCAGTAAATCTCACACTTGTGGCTTTTTTTCCCCATCTTACTTTGAAACATCAAAATGTTCAACTACAGCTAGATCACTGTTCCCCCTGTCCAGATGAGAATGAAGGCAGAGAATACATAATGGCCCCAACAAATCTGTTCTTCCCTGCTATAGCTGTTGGGTGTTGCTACAAGCTGCCACACTGAGACCTGTAATTTAGGAAGAACTTCTGCCTAAGAGCTCATTTCAGTCTCCCCTCTGGCAGGTTAAAGCCATTCCCCTTGGCCTGTCCCTACAGGCCCTTGTCCCAAGCCCCTCTCCAGGTTTCCTGCAGCCCCTTCAGGCACTGGAGCTGCTCTCAGGTCTCCCCTTCAGGAGCCTTCTCTCCTCCAGGCTGACCCAGCCCAGCTCTCTCAGCCTGGCTCCAGAGCAGAGCTTCTCCAGCCCTTGCAGCATCTCCATGGCCTCCTCTGCACTCGCTCCAACAGCTCCAGGTCCCTCTTGTGCTGCTGCCCCAGAGCTGGATCAGGACTGCAGGGGGGGTCTCCCCAGAGCACAGCAGAGGGGCAGGATCCCCTCCCTCTGGGGGGGATCACACTCTGGGGGTGCAGCCCAGCACAGAGGGGGTTCTGGGCTCAAGCACACACTGAAGCCAGGTCATGGGGAGCTTCCCCTCACCCAGCACCCGCAAGTCCTCCTCAGGGCTGATCTCTAGTATAGACATAGGAAATAGGTAGGAAAGGTAGGGAGTAAAAAAATACAGCTAGGAAAAACTCAGCAGAAATATGACAAAAGCATGTACTGAGTTATCACCTTAGTCATTTGAAATGTATTTCAATAGCAAAAGAAGTTTGTTAAAAGTGGGGAGCACTTCACTGAAAGCTTCAACATGCACCATGTATTTCATGCTTTATGGTTCCACAGCAAGCAGAGGAAAGGGGTGAAGGATTAAATCCATCAGGATGGGGCTTTCCAGCTGAAGGGATGAGCCATATGGTTGGGAATCTTGGAATCTTCCCTCAGTTGGGCAGACGCTGAGGAGGCGAAGGAGTCTGTGCTGGGTGGCCAACAGAAAAGCAACAGACATGGAATAAAATGGGAAACTGGGAGGGGATGGCGTGGCTGCGGTCCAGGGTGGTTCTGGAAACTCAGGGAGGCTGCAGGAGCTGCCCATCCCAGATGGCGAGCACAGCGTGGCTGCTGCCGCTCTGAGCATGCTTCAGCAGGTTTGTCACAGCGAAAGAATGCGGGGCGAGGAAGAAGAGAAGAAGAAGAGGGAGAGAATTAAGGCAAATGTGAAGCAGAGTATTAAAAACAAAGGGGAAAGGAAAATGGGAAAACACAAAGAGCTCTGAATGGGCTCTTAAAGAAGGTCATGAGGGAGGACAGTGACAACAATGCAGCTATAAAAGGAACCAGCAACCTGAGATCCTTTAGGGGCATCTAAGACATTTGTGAGGACTTGAGACAAAAGCCCATGAGAAAAATGGGCTAAAATCCATAAACTCATTGCTGTATGAAATGTCAGGCCTAGAGAGGCTGGATTCCTCTGAGCAATGGCCAGCATCTCTTGCCCTCAGCAATGAGAGATTTGAATACTACCAAACACCAGAACCCCTACAAAATCAGGTTAGATCTTAGGCAGAAGCTCTTCCCTGTGAGGGTGCTGAGGCGCTGGCACAGGGTGCCCAGAGAAGCTGTGGCTGCCCCGTCCCTGGCAGTGTTCAAGACCAGGTTGGACACAGGGGCTTGGAGCAAGCTGCTCTAGTGGAAGGGGTCCCTGCCCGTGGCAGGGGTTGGAGCTGGATGGGCTTTAAGGTCCCTTCCAACCCAAACCAGTCTGGGATTCTGTGATGCTGTGAAAATGCTCCTGCCTGCAGAAGAGGGAGTGTTGACAAGACTGGGGGGTGAGCGCAACACTGACTCCTCCAACGCTGCTCACTGAGGCTAAATAAAACCACCACATTACACAACCCCTGGCTTGATACCTAGGTTAGGTAGCTCCCTCCTCCTGCGGTTGGCTTTTATGAGCCCCACTGATGACATTTCCAAACATCAGAGATACTGAACTCAGTGGCCATAGGTTTGGCTGTGAAGCTGAGAGGCAACAACTCGTGCATTTTTCTGCTTTAGGTGAGCAGTATCATCAGGTGGGATTAATATATCCCAAATATGAGCCACAGTTAGTGGTTGGAGAGAGTGAAAAGGGCATTTATTGTAAGGAAGGCTCTCCAGGAGTGTCCAAGGCAACAGGGATGTTCTGTGTTGGGTTTACAGAACACAGCACATCATGCACAGCATAATCAGTGCCAGCTAATCAGATTATTTGATGAGCCTGAGGGAGCAAAATCTATCTTCCAGTTGACGTAATCCACCAACAGACTGCTTAAGGCTTCTGGCTCTGTTCATTCTGTGTTTCAGAAGCCATCCCCTTACTGTTCATTGAGATTTACCCTTTTCATGAGTAAATCTAGGGTTAAGCACATACTGAAGCCCAGGAAATAGACCAGGTAAGAGTGAGGCCCCGTGGGAGTGCAGCTAATGGAGCAGTGCCAATTGCCACACTACCGGTTCAGCAGGATACTGGAACACCCGGGTAGTGTAATGCTCTTAGTGCACACCTTGTGAGGTTGGTAACTGAGGAAGCTCAGGGATACTGAAACACCAGGGTAGTGTAATGCTCTTAGTGCACACCTTGTGAGGTTGGTAACTGAGGAAGCTCAGGGATACACGAGTCTGGAATTAGAATATGGAAAGGATGGTTTTCTGGGAAGTCCCGAATTTCAGAAGGGAATAGATTATGATATGAATTCCCACCTAATCTGGGCCATAAATTCTTATTACTTTAATACCATTGCCTTACTTTAGAGAGACGTCCTGCAGAAAATCTATACCTTCTCCCGGCATTTCTCATCACAAATAGGCAGCTTCGACAACTGGATGAAAAGCAGCTTTCAATCTTACTCCTACTTTTAATCTTACAGAAAGCCATTTGGCAGGAGACCTTATTTACAGATGGAACAAGGGGCAAACAGAGAAAGAGAAAAATAAATCATTCCCAGAGCAGATTATTTTCCTGGAAGGAAAGTTCTCGGCTTTTAGTCCTAATTTGAAGAGAATTACACATCGAGCAACTATGGTTTCCTTGCATCAGGCATCACAGAAGCTGCTGTGCTTCCCTTTCTTGTATCTTATGCTAAAATGATGGGTAGAAACAGAATAAAGTCATTGCACTGGAGCATTGTGTAGGATCACTGTCTCCCTCCCATTGCACAAGCCAGTGCTGGAGCAAAGCTAAGGCATTTATGGAGCAGCAGGAGGTCATTAGCTTGCTGTCAGTACTCTTTCCCATTGATAGCTCTTACATGGCTATCTAGTAGGTAAGCAGCATTATAAATAGTCATGTTGCAGCACACATTTCTGCTTTCATATAGAAAAGATGTTTGTGGTCTCCTAAATAAACCTGGGAAACAGAGAATTTGTGGTTCAGGAACGTGTTGCTTCAGTATTCCAACCCCATGTCTCAACTGCATGGGAGTTACCCTTTTTGTGAGCAAGTCTAGGGCCATGCCTGAGCTCTGAACAGTTGAAATTCACAGGGGTTTAACACAAAGGGGCAATTTAGAGGATGTATTGGGATTGTGTATAGCTGGAATTGCTTCACTATCCCAGCAAGTCAGATCTTCCGTAGAGGTCAGAGTAAGGACTGAGTATTAGAGAATTCCAAAGTATGTTTAACTGAGGAGTAAACCCCTGTCTCAAGGATTGATGCCATAAGCCAGCCAGAGCCCTGTATAATCATTTGTCTGTACGTCTCATTATTGGCCAAGCAAAGCAGAAGCAGGGAGGGGGACCCACTGGCTTAATGGGTGCCCAATGCAATTTAGGCTAATCAATAAAAGCAATTTTACAGAATTATGCAAAATGTTGAGCTCCTGCTGAAACAATTGGGAACTGGTGGAGCTGCGGGCTCTGGGGAGGGAAGGTCACATTCCTCTGCTGAGACTGAACCTTTGCAGACATAGAATCATAGAATCATAGGATAGTTACGGTCAGAAAGGACATAAGATCATCCAGTTCCAACCCCCCTGCCATGGGCAGGGACACCTCACACTAAACCATGGCACCCAAGGCTCTGCCCAACCTGGCCTTGAACACTGCCAGGGATGGAGCATTCACAACTTCCCTGGGCAACCCATTCCAGTGCCTCACCACCCTCACAGGAAAGAACTTCTTCCTTATATCCAATCTAAACTTCCCCTGTTTCAGTTTGAACCTGTTACCCCTTGTCCTGTCACTACAGTCCCTAATGAAGAGTCCCTCCCCAGCATCCCTATAGGCCCCCTTCAGATACTGGAAGGCTGCTCTGAGGTCTCCACGCAGCCTTCTCTTCTCCAGGCTGAACAGCCCCAATGTTCTCAGCTGTCTCCATACAGGAGGTGCTCCAGTCCCCTGATCATCCTCGTGGCCTCCTCTGGAGTCGCTCCAACAGCTCCATGTCCTTCTTATGTTGAGGACACCAGAACTGCATGCAGTGCTGCAAGCGGGTCTCATGGCAACATGTGAATCCTTGACCAGGGGGATTCACATGCTGCTCTCCCTGGATATTGCGCTGCTCTTCTTGTGATGCCAGAGGTTTCATGGAGCCTGGTTTCCCCAAGACTTCCCACCATACATCTCTCTGTCAAGTCAATTTTTCCCAGTGAGAACAATCAGCAACTGGAATCATCTCCCCGGGGAAGTGGTGGATTCCACAGCACTGGACACTTGATATTTGGCTGGACAGGCTGCTGGGACATCTAGTCTAGGTCATGCTTGGACCAGATGATCCTTGAGGTCCCTTCCACCCTGGGATTCTGCGGTTCTGTGATTTAGCTGCTACCATCAAAGGGCCTGGGCAAACACCCAAGACCCAGTGAGGAATTTCAGATCTGGGCCTTTGACCACAAGCCATATTTGATCAGTGTAGAAACATCCCATTACGCTGAGTCTATTAGTAGTATTTACTACACAAGCAAGGTAGAAAGAATCCAGGCTACACATGTCAGAAGCAGAAGGTGGCTGTTCACAGGAAGGGGGCTGATTACTTGCATCAGATTAAGAAGTTTATTTCTCAAATGGAGCAAAACTCTGGATTAGTGCTTTCCTATCACTCCTTAGAAGCAAGAGAAGCCCTGCCATTTCATTTTAGTGCTGTTTCTCTTATATTGCCATCCTTGCTTTCAATTTGCCACTCTTATTCCAAGTATACTCCTTGCCCCCATAGCTCAGCCTTGAGGAGGCTCCACGTTGTTCTCAGGCACCCAATGAAGAGGTCAAGTGGAGCTGCTCTTCCCTCCAAGCACACATCTCCGAAGCTGATCCACATGCATTTCTTGGCTGTGTTCCTCACATCAGAGAATATTCCAAATAAGGTCTCAGTGGTGTATGGCTCCGAATGAAAATAGCTTCATCTGATTGCAGTTTGATAACCCCCAGAGAAAAGTCCCTTGGCCTTTGACTTCCCTTTAATGCTGGTGACAGCCTCTGCATATGCTCCTGTTAGATTGTCTCAGTTCAGCACTGTTAAATCACAGCTCTGTCAGCTCTCAGGGTTTTAATGTTGTTCTTGGAATATTTGCTTTCTGCAGTGGACCTCCTGCCTCTGGAGTCAAGTATAAAGATAGGCTGAGAAAGTTGGGGCTGTTCAGCCTGGAGAAGAGAAGGCTGCGTGGAGACCTCAGAGCAGCCTTCCAGTATCTGAAGGGGGCCTATAGGGATGCTGGGGAGGGACTCTTCATTAGGGACTGTAGTGACAGGACAAGGGGTAACGGGTTAAAACTGAAACAGGGGAAGTTTAGATTGGATATAAGGAGGAAGTTCTTTACTGTTAGGGTGGTGAGGCACTGGAATGGGTTGCCCAGGGAGGTTGTGAATGCTCCAACCTTGGCAGTGTTCAAGGCCAGGTTGGACGAAGCCTTGGGTGACATGGTTCAGTGTGAGATGTGTCTGCCCATGGCAGGGGGTTGGAACTGGATGATCTTAAGGTCCTTTCCAACCCTAACTGTTCTATGATTCTATGATTCACTGAGATTCTGAGGTTTTACTTTCAAAGCAGATTATCATCCTCGAGGCAGAGAAGAAGAGCATAAAACGTAGACTAACTAGAACCTCAGTGCAATGAGGCTTCCAAAACTAGACGTTAAGGCCAAAAAAAACCCATAAATATTGGTTCCTAAACCTCATTATTTAAAATATGTATTTCAGGTATTCTCAAGAATGATAAATTGGGATTTGTTTTCCCCCAGTGTTTTTGACTCCCAGTTTCACAATGCTAAAGACATTTCTTTTAATGCCAGTGCTGGACTAATACCCCAGCTTAGTGCACAGGAATGAGTAGCTTTGCTCTCAGCAGGAGGTCAGGCTGAGGTCCTTACATCTACTAGTAATTATGGTCTTCCTAACACACGCCAGGAGAAATAAGGGATGGAGCAGCTGTGTTCTGGGTTACATTTTGGGTAGATACGCTCTGTTTAGCTGATGCAAACATGGACTGACTTGGGAGGGAGGGACCTCCACAGGTTTTCTGCCTCACCCCCTCCTATAACAGGGACAACTTTAAAGTCAGATCCAACTTGAAAGTCAGATAATGTTGCTCAAGGCATTGTGCAGTTCAGTCTGAGTCCTTCCAAGGATGAAGAGTCCCTCCAGGGCTTCTCTAAGCCCCATTCCAGCATCTGACTGACACTGAAATCTAATCTTGCTCTAATACGTAGTCTCAGGTTTGCACTAGTTGTATCCAAACCATGTACACTCGGCCTCTTCTCAGTGTTGTAAAGCCTATATGGAGTTTAATTCAATGGTTTTCATTGAGAGAGAATTCGACTAGAGATCGTGAAGCCCCACGTTTGCTGGGCTGCATGAAATGAGGGAGATTCTAAATTAGAAACACAAACCATTAACCTAGAACAGCAAGAAAAGCGTTGGCTCCTTTTTCCTCCAGCCAAATACTGGAGGGCCCATGCCAAAAATCATTGACATTTATCAGACATGTTGATAAGCAGAACTGATTAAAGGCTGTTATTGCTTTTCTGCTTGAATTTTCAAATTCAGTTTGAATTTCAAATTCGAATTCAAAATATTTCATTCTACAAAAGGAAAAATACTGAAAACTTACCCCAAAAGGAGAAGAGTGTTATTTAAATCAAAAACTTATCAAGGAATGTGGGGCTTTTGTAGCTTCTCAGAAGCTCTGGTACTTGCTTCCCAAACCTTTGTGTGATCTCCTAAGGTCTCCCTTGTCCAAGCCGATAGCTGGCTCAGAGACAGACTCTGAAGTGATGGAGATGCCTCATCACAGAATAGTTTGGGTTAGAAGGAACCTTCAAACTCATCCAGTTCCAACCCCCTGCAGTGAGCAGGGACATCTTCCACTAGAGGAGGTTGCTCAGAACCACGTCCAGCCTGGCCTTGGGTGTCTGCAGGAGCAGTGCAACCCGTGTTTTACCTCCTGGTCCATGGGCAGACTGGCAGCACTTGTTAGCGCAGCCCAAAAATGTGCTGGAGCTCATTAGCTTGTGCAAAGCATTTACCACAACATCTGCATTTTGGGAAGCTGTCGAACGAGCAGTATTGCCCACGGAGAAGGAAGTCTTTTGCTTATCATCTGGCAGCCATCTCTCTCCGACAGCCACCTACCTCCGAGCTGTGCCGTCTTCTAAACGCAAGGAGAAAGCCGCATATGCTGCTCGCCGCGCTTGCAAACATCGCAGTGCATTTCACTGCATCTAAACTAGGCTGAACAAGTTACATCCCAGGCACGCTGACCCCCCAGGGGAATACAAACAGTCGAGTGCAGACTGCAGCCACATTATGAAGACCTAATTTAGTCCTGATGTTTTGAGATACCCAGGCAAGCTGCCTTGTACAAGGTCACCTCCAACAGAGACAAGAAATTGTTTGTTATAAGCGTGAAGACCTTGAGTTGTGCAGAATGCTCTTGCCTTTCATCATCTGCATGCTGTTTTCCTTTCCATCTTACTTACATTACATGGTGGGTAAGAAGAAGCTGTAATTTATGCAGCACTCCACAGAGCTATCTCAGGGGTTACATGTAATACATCCACCTTCATTTTGCATGCTCATTTAAATAAATGGTCTCAAAAAACACTGTCTAGATTTGAAATGGAAAAGACAATGGTGGCTCCCTTGTGTGGATGGAAACCTGGACAAATTGAAGCATTCATACAATCATAGAATGGTTTGGGTTGGAAAGGGCCTTAAGATCATCCGGGTCCAATCCCCTGCCGTGGATGCCTCACACTAGACCATGTCACCACAAAAAGGATGACTAAGAGGAGGTGAAGGCAAAACAAATGGGACAAAAAGGTGTTTTTACATTTAGGCACATTCCCTCTCCTTATATAGAATACATCTAAAAGGTCAGTCCTGATCCTCTGTTATCCTGCGTGATCCTGTCCTGAAGAGTTAGTACTAATGTCGTACGCAGGGTAGCGATTGTGACCTGCCACTCACTAATTACCCTCCCTCGTGGTACCCATTGCCTTGAGTGCTCTGTTTTACTCCATCACCATGACAACACTTCCCACGCCAGAGGAGATATTTAGCTCCTATCTTCCTGTGGAGTAGCAATCTCCTATTGCTCATAACTGAAGCCTTCCTCATGGAGCAGCTGCAGGATCTTCTGGAATTGGGGAGTATTTATTCTGCAGGGGGTGGTTTTAGGTCTTGATCAAATGAGTTTGAGGGAAAGGCACCTACAGCATCTTCAAGAGCAGCTGCTCTTTACAAATCAGCCCCAGGAAATATCTTGCCTGTTTATACTATGAATTGGCAGAACATAGGCTTCTGTGTCCTCAAATATTCCATCATCTCCCATTAAACAAATAGGGACTGAAGCTCCGTTCCTAGCTACAGATGACAAATGTAAGCAGGAGGAAAGTAAACAGCCAGGTTAGCTTTCACCTCAGCGTGCTTGCTGAGATCTGCATCACATTGTCTGGTTCCAGTTCATCTGTAGTTTCTCAACAATATCCTTAGGAAAGCAAGTGAGTATAGAGTGGGGTTTTTTCCCTTCTCCTGGGCATCAGTTTCTCCTCAGGGCTCACATCCTTCTTGGCTAAACTGATACACACTAAATGGATAAAGATAACCATACAAAAGGCATTCTTTTCTAACCTTTGCCTGGCCAGGCACCAAAGTAAGCTGTGTGATGTTAGATATAAGGAAGAAGTTCTTTACTGTAAGGGTGGTGAGGCACTGGAATGGGTTGCCCAGGGAAGTTGTGAATGCTCCATCCCTGGCGGTGTTCAAGGCCAGGTTGGACAGAGCCTTGGATGCCATGGTTTAGTGTGAGGTGTCCCTGCCCATGGCAGGTTGGAACTGGATGATCTTAAGGTTGTTTCCAACACAAGCCAGTCTGGGAGTCTATGATTCTATGTTTAATCTTACATTTGCACAGGGTAGCATGGAAAAGATGCGTACAGTGGGACTATGAGGGGCTCAGTCATGCACTCCTCAGGCTGTTATTTGATGTTGGTTACATGGAGATCTTCCCCTTTGGTTAAGAAAATAAATTTAAAACCTTGGAAATACAGAGATGCTTTGTTTTATTTTATAACCACAGAATAGAACCCCAGCCTGGTTTGTGTTAGAAGGGACCTTAAAGCTCATCCAGTTCCAACCCCCTGTGACGGGCAGGGACACCTTCCACTAGAGCAGCTTGCTCCAAGCCCCTGTGTCCAACCTGGCCTTGAACACTGCCAGGGATGTGCTTTGGGACAGGGATGAATTTGGCACAGCGACATGGATGGTTATGGATTTAGGGTCCAGAAGCTTTTATTCCTATAGGATTTCTACTGGCAGCAAGGGTGCCTCAGCCCTGCCCTCACCCACTCCTGCTAGCCGCAGGCAGGGCACTAAGGATGGGGCCTGTGATCCCGTGGTAATAAACAGTAATAACAGACTGGAAGCTGTCACAAGAGGATATGACCAAGCCTTGGCTGGGTTATGGACAATTCAGCCCCATGTGATGGCTGTCAGCTGAGGTGAGCTCAGAGGGAAGGGAAGGGAATCTGCCCACAACACATGGCTTGTGGCCCACTCACAAATACAATTTACCCCTCCACAGGGATGTTCTGGCTTCTCCCTCCAGCAGCCCTCCGCCACTGCGCTCACCATGCACAGGAGTTCACGTGAGCCAGGATGATGCTTGCAGGAGCAACCTGGGCTGCACCCCCAGAGCGTGAGCGGCAGCTCAGGGAGGGGATCCTGCCCCTCTGCTGCTCTCTGGGGACAGCCCCCTGCAGTCCTGATCCAGCTCTGGGGCAGCAGCACAAGAGGGACGTGGAGCTGTTGGAGCGAGGCCAGAGGAGGCCATGGAGATGCTGCGAGGGCTGGAGCAGCTCTGCTCTGGAGCCAGGCTGAGAGAGCTGGGCTGGGGCAGCCTGGAGAAGAGAAGGCTCCTGAAGGGGAGACCTGAGAGCAGCTCCAGTGCCTAAAGGGGCTGCAGGAAAGCTGGAGAGGGGCTTGGGACAAGGGATGTAGGGACAGGCCAAGGGGAATGGCTTTAACCTGCCAGAGGGGAGACTGAGATGAGCTCTTAGGCAGAAGCTCTTCCCTGGGAGGGTGCTGAGGCGCTGGCACAGGGTGCCCAGAGAAGCTGTGGCTGCCCCATCCCCGGCAGTGTTCAAGGCCAGGTTGGACACAGGGGCTTGGAGTGACACAAACCATTCCAGGATTCTATGAACCTCAGCTTTTTCCTGTTTCAGACCAGGTGGTGAAAACGGGATTAACTTTGTCCTAAATGTGATGTAAATTCTATGTTCTCACTATGCCACACCTTGGGGAA